ACAGCACCAGAGAAGGCTGAATCTGGAGTTGAGATTTTCAACTCCACTACGCAGCAATGAGCCCCACTTATAATGCAAGTAAGTACATTGCAGTAGGGAATGCAGATTCCCTACTGGAAAATCTGAATTTCCAAATGTGCTCAACAGTCAAGATGCCCTGTCCCCCAGATGTCATGGAGGACCAGTGGAGAACCTGGACTTCCACCTACACCTGGCAATAAGAGGGCAGCACTCTCATCACCCCACTGGTGCGGAGTCCGAGGAAGCCTGCTCAAACAGAAGACTTCAATAAGATCCAGAGTCTCATAACAGAGTACCCCAAATGTCTAGTGTACAATAAACATAAATCACTCATCATCCCAAGCCCCAGAAAAATCTCAACTTGAATAAGAAAGACAATCAGCAGATACCAACATCAAGATGACACAATTGTTACAGCTATCTCACAAAGATTTTAAAGCAGTGATAATTAAAATTCATTTAAGAAGTAATTAAGAACACACTTAAACGAAATATAGAAAGTCTCAGAAAACAAAGAGAAGGTGTAAGGAAGAACCAGATAGCAGTTATAGAACAAAACCATACAATAACCAAAATAAAAAAAATCCAATGGGTGGGCTCAACTTCAGACTGGAGTGCACAGAGGAAAGAATTCCTGGGCACGAAGACAGAACAATAGAAATTATCCAATCTGAACAATATAAAGAAAATAAACTTTATCCCCGTCCAGCGCAGGCTGGGATTGGGTTTGGGGATCTGAGATGCAGTCGTGGCTCTGCCCCTGCTGGTGGGGAGACTGCATAAGAGTCATCTCAGCAGCCGATGGTGGGGTTACACGTCTGTCCAGGGGTTACAAAAAAAAAAGAGCCTCTGAAACTATGGGACAAAAATGAAAGATCTAACATTCATTCATGTCACCAGAGTCCCAGAAGAAAAAGAAAAAGAGTATGGGACTGGACAAGTATCTGAAAAAAAAAGAGCCTCTGAAACTATGGGACAAAAATGAAAGATCTAACATTCATTCATGTCATCAGAGTCCCAGAAGAAAAAGAAAAAGAGTATGGGACTGGACAAGTATCTGAAAAAATAACAGCAGAAAATTTCCCAAATTCGGCAAAAGATATAAATTTACAGATCGAATTAAGTGACCAAATCTCAAACAGGATAAACTCAAAGAAATACAGGTCGAGACACATCATAATCAAACTTCTGAAAACAAAAGATAAAGAAAAAAAATCTCGAAAGCAGCATGAGAAAAGTGACACCTGAATTAGGGGAAAAAGCCACCTAGAATGCCAGTAAAGTTCTCTTCAGAAACCATGGGAGCCAGAAGAAAATAGAAAAACATTTCTCAAGGCTAAAAGAAAAAGATTGTAATCCCAGAATTCTATATGCAGCAACAATATACTTCAGGAATGAAGGGAAAATCAAAACATTTTTAGATGAAGGAAAACTAAGAGAATTTGTAATCAGCCTAAAAGAATAGCCAAAGGAAGTTCTTGAAACAAAAAGTAGATGGTAAAAGAAGAAATGTTGAAACATCAGAAAGGAAAAGAACAGAAAGAACAAAAAAATGGATAAATATTGAGAGTACTTCAAATGTTCATGGAAAAATAGAATTAAAAGTTAATACAAATTTTTCCATAGACTTTTTGAAGTATCCTCATATTTTTCTTCTCCTTTTGTTTTTTCTACATGATATTTGCTGGTTGAACCAAAAATTATAAATTTGTCTAATGTAGTATTAAATGTATGTAGAGGACATATACATTTAATAATTAAAATATTTAATATTTATTCTCCTCCATTTATAATTATATTGATGTTGGTATCTGTTGGTATTTGAATAAAGGGAATTAAAGGGAGGTGCAGTTTCTACACTAAAACTGGTAAAATGTTGACATGAATACACTGTGATATGTTATATGAAAATAATATATATCTAGAGCAACCACTA